GTAGAACCAGCTGCATCTCGTATCACTTTTTATCAAGAAAGCAAAGTTTTGCCAGAAAACCGTGGCAGACCTTTGCTTACATTTCTTTGTCCAGAATCACGTTATGTGGCCATTTCTAGCTGCAAGAGAGGCTAGGAAAATAATTTTCTTGCTTTTCTGGCTTATTTTTAGCAGAGGCAGGCAAGGAGGCAGGGATTTGGGAATGGGGTTGAATCTAGTAAGGTCTGAAGGTCTCTACCTTCTCTATGGCCTGACCACCGCTGGTAGATGTCCTGTATGAGCCAGGTAGATGTCTGTCCCCACAGACAGTCCAGGGCCATGATTGATGGGGCTAAAGGGACAAAAGGCACATTTGGCTGTCATCTAGGGACACTGTTCTGCCCAAGATGCAATATAACTGCACCTAGATTCCAAAGCCAACAGTATGACAGACACTGTAACAGGAGATAATAAAATGTTAGCTAATACGCAGCACTTACTCTATGCCAGACCCTGTTTTAAATGCTTTTCATATATTAATTTTAATTCACTTAATCCTCTTAAGAACCTTACGAGGTGGACACCATAATCTTCATTTTAAGGATGAAGAAACTGAGGCCCTGAGAGGTTAAGGCACTTGCTCAAGGACACCCAGCCAGTAGTGTGAGCAAGAAATAAACTTGTAGTGCTTTTAGCCACTGAGATTTTAGAGTGGTTTCCTACTATAGCATAACTATATACCAATTTTGATATATATATGTATGTACTCTGATATCTAATTATGTTATACATAATATAGATTATATAACAGATTTATATAAATTACTTTATATGTAAATATATTTATATATCATTATATATATATTACACAATTTATTTAAATAAAAGTATGTTTATATCCATATACGTGTATGTAAATATCTTCCTTAGTCTCCACTCGGAAGAAAAAGTGCTTTGCAGCCTGGAATAAAGAATGCTCTCCTCGCAGCCTTGTAGTCTGTGAGCACGTAGTGGGGATTCCTGAGAAAAGCTCGACAAGCCTGGTGCTGCTAAAAAGACTCATGAAATTTTGTCCAGTATTTAAAATTGCAGTCTTTGTATCTGTCGGGAGAGGTAGATTAGCTGCAGGAACAACCTCCCCCGCCAAAGGCACCCCTTTAAGTATAAAAGACACTTTAGTGCTAACATATCAGTGCACAAGCTGAACACATATCCAAGTGCCTGCTGAGAAAGCAGAAATGTGGGTGATATTTCCCTCTGGCCGAGGTAGGGGACAGAGCATGGTCCACAAGTAAAGGAGAGAAGAAAATCAGGGGAAGGGGCAGTGTGAGCGAGTCCTGGCTCTGGGCTTTCCCAGTAGCATCGAGCTTAAGTGCACCTCGGTATTAGCTCCATAAATGAACCAACCTTAAAGTCTATGGCCAGAGAACATAGGGGTCAGAGAAAGCTGTTGCTGCATAGATGGGCCCCTTGGCTTCACCTGGGAGCTTTCCAGGACTAGCAGGTAGCAGCTCACCCATGTACGTCTGTGCCAGCCCTCTCACTTACACGCACCCCAGGCCACTAGGCACGCACTCAATGTCTCTATTTCCATGCCCCCGGGAGGTGATGATGTCAGCTTCAAAATCAGATGCAGAGCTGAATTCAAGCCTCCCAGGATGGGAAAGATGCAACTTCCGAGAATATGAGAGTGTTGTCAGAACAGGACCAGTGAGTATGTGTGTGCATGGCTATGTGTACTTGTGCAGATTTATGTAGGCGGGGGTTCCTTCTGGCTGCTAGGACTCTTCTCGGAAGCCCACACACTCTGCATCACCGAGGTGCTCTCACATGTTAGCCATCCGTGGTATGACTGGAACCCTTCGGTTGTGATGGCCAAGTGCAGTGTACATACTGGATAGCCGTGCACAGCAGCCCCGTCGGGAGCCCACTGTCGGCCCAGCTCTGAAAGAGGAACCAGCTCTTTCTCATATGTACCTCCATTCCATGTCTGAGGGAGGAACCAAAAACACTCAAAACAGGAGAAGAGAGTGGAGGTCAAAGGATCAGAACAGCTGCTGGCTGGCCACCCACTCTGTCCTGGTAAGAAGGGATAAGAAGGCTGCAAACTGGGTAAGAAAATCCTCTCACCTATCAGCTCAAGGCTGTAATCCCAGGCCTCTGCTCCTCTAAGCTTTGTTCTATTTTCACTCCTTTCCCCCAGGAACAGTCCCCATTGGCTGCAAGGATTTAGTGGGGACTTGCATCCACAGTCCCCATTACCTTCTCCCTTCTTACCTCCTCTCGACATTTCCCAGCACTAATTCATCAGACTTCCTTGCTCAGCTCAGGGCTGTGAGTGAAGAGGACCGAGTTCAAGAAAGCCAAGCCGCCTTTGTACAGGGAACAGTGGGGCACAGGACTTGTCCATCTTGAGCATCGGCCTCCCGTGGGCCTGGACAATGGGTAACGTGATGGAGGGTAAGTCGGTGGAGGAGCTGAGCAGCACCGAGTGCCACCAGTGGTACAAGAAGTTCATGACTGAGTGCCCCTCCGGCCAGCTCACCCTCTACGAGTTCCGCCAGTTCTTCGGTCTCAAGAACCTGAGCCCATCGACCAGCCAGTATGTGGAGCAGATGTTTGAGACTTTTGACTTCAACAAAGTGAGCAGGGGTCTGAGTGGGGAGCGCTGGAGGGGATACCTGGGGACACCAGGCCAGCTGGAGGGTGAGGAGGAGCTGGCATGATAACATTAGTGTCTGCTGGAGGAGTGGCTTCATTTACAGAGTTCTTGTTTATCTGGGAGGTTGAATGTCAACATCAGGAAATCAACTGATCTCACACTCATTGAGCACCTACTGTAAGTCAGGCACGGATGGTTCAGAAGGACTCAGGCACTATGCCTGCTCTCACGCTCGAGGGGAAGAAAGAGAGGGCCACAGTTGGTGTACTCACGAACTGGATCAAATGGCTCCCTCTCCCTCTCCCACACATACAGATTGGTTTACTCCAGAACAAGTGTGAACACTTACAAGATGGTCATTGAGCATCTACTAAGTGCTTGGTACCACATGCTGTGCTTTTGCACAGGCCCTTAGATGCTCACAAGGATGTAGAAGGAAGGGTAGAGAGTAGATAGCAGGGTGAGGAGGCTCCGGCCCTGGCTGGTCTGGGATGGGCAGGCCCATGTCACTTGGGTCATCCATGGCACTCTGTGCCTACTAGACGTGAGGACAGGCGGTGTTGCCTGGTCGCTGGGGAATCCAGGCTGCTCTGACTCCAGAATATCCAGAGGCCTCAGTTCACCTTTGCTCAAGTGGGTGAAGGGCCTGCACAGGGGTCAAACTGCATATCTCCCCAAGTAATCACCTGGATGCAGTGGTAGAGGACTTCCGGAGAGGCTAGAGGGGACACTGAAAAGAGTTAGTCACTAAGATTTCAGGCTCTTAGTTTTTGTCAGCTGGATGAACTTGAGCCCATTCTCTCCCTCTCAGCTTCGGCTTTTTCACCTGTATCTGCCATGGATGTTGGTAGCACAAGTTAAGATGTTTGATGGTTTTCAATAGCAAATCTTCCATTTATTTGGAACAATTTAGTCAAGATGTAGTGGTGGAAGAACCCAGGCCCACAAACCCATCTCCCCACTCTGGCTGGTACCCCGCAGCTGACGCTCACTCGGAAGGCGTGGATGTGAGGATACACTGCCATGTGTTCACCGCAAGCTGGGAAGAAGCTGCCCAGAGCTTTCCTGGCTCCCCTCACTGACCAGAGGTCCAAACACCACTGTAGGCGGGGCTTCTAGGGAGAGCTAGGGCTCAGAGGCTATTTAAAACTCGCTAATATTTGGGGCTAAGGGGCCAAAGCAGATTATGGGCTTTGAGTCCCAGCCTCAAGGGCAGCATTGTGGTGCCCGAGGGCTTTCCTGAAGGGGGAGCAAGGGAGCAGAGTACTGGAGGCCGAGGTGTGGAGACCAGGAGGGATGAGGCCAGCATGCTAGATTGCCCAAAATCCTCCAGAAGCAGCAGTAATTCCAACAGGAGGGGGAAGAGCCTCAATACCTTACTCCCAAATGCACCAAAATAGCTCAGCTTCTCACCTGCTAAGGAAACCCTTTGGGTCAAGATATATCTTCAGAAAGACCCTCTAAAGTCACACATATGACACCATGGAGGGGCAACCCACCAACCTTGCATTTGCTTAACCTGAGTCATTCATATGCTATCTCTTCAATTTTTGTTCCATGCAAGTACCCGTACTGTTCCAAACCTGACTTCCTCAATTATGCCGCACACACACCGCCTTGGGGCCTTGCTGCTGCCTGAGACCCTCTTCCTCCAGAATTCTGCTGTGCTCACACCTTCCCCTGCTACAAGTCTCTGCTAAAATTCTCCTTCCCACTGACACCTGCCCTGTTTAACTGGGACTAAACCTACCCCTGCATTTCCCAGTCTCTCCCGCTCCCAGAGGACATCTCATCTTCTAATACATGATTTTGAATAACATTTAGCCACGATGCTTATTGTTTGTCTCTCCTGCTGGAATGTGGGCTCCATGAGGGCAGGGATTGTTGTGTCTTCTCCATTGCTGTATCCTCAGCACCTAAAACAGTGCCTAGAACACAGTAGGTGCTTAATAGGTATTTGTTATAGGACTAAATGAATATATGAGAAGTCATGAGTTTGTGGGCTAGTTTTATGTTTCATAATGCACATTAATTTAAATACCTATTTATTTAAATGAAGAGTATCTTTGTAACATCCAAAGTGCCTCATAGACACCGATGCTGTAAATCACACTTAGGGTACCACTGCCTCCATCCATTGTCATGAGCACAGAGCAGTTTAGCAGACTGGCTAGGTGAAGGCACACAGGACTGGGAAGTTTTGAGACAGAGAGGAGTTAAAACGGGTATGCAAATGATGGCCAATGGGCCAATTTTATAAATAAAGTTTTATTAGAACACACTACACTTCTTTGTTCACATATTGTCGAAACTAAAAGATTTGCTATCTGACCCTTTACAGAAAAAATTTGCCAGCCTCTGAGCTAGAAGAGAGTTATATCCTAGGGTGATGCTCTGGGTGGGCAGGGTTGGGGGAATGCTACGGCAGTGTGACTGGGAGTGTGACCTGGGGGACAAGCATATGATCTGCTTACTTCAAAGCCGTGCCTAGTGGTCACACAAGTGCATCCAAATCAATGTAAATCTTGTGTAGGATTTAGGAGACCCAGCTTCTAGGCAAGGCTTTGTCATTTGTTAACTGTGTGGCCCTAACTGCTCTCAACTTCAGCTTTTCATCTGAAAATGGGGACAAAAATACCCACCTCCTGGGGGCGGTTGAGAGATTAAATAAGTACAGTGAATAAATCTTCAGCATAGAAAGCACTAAAAAGAAGTTAGTATTAAAGTAGTATTACTGAATCTAATCCATACCACGATCTTGAGAAGTACATACTGTCATTCCCATTTTACAACTGTGGAAACTACACCTCAAAGAGGCCATTTGACTTGTCCAAGGTCACACCTCTCCTAAGATGTGGTTGAGGTCTTTCTGGCACAAAAGCCTATACCTTTCCATTTTAAAGTTTTAGCCACTTTAAAAAAATTACAAAAGTAATACAGCACACTGTAAAAATTTCCAACAATATAGAAAGATAAAAAATGAAAAGCATCCTTACCCTGTGTTCTCGCCCAGAGAAAACCTCCTTAGCTGTTGCCTTGCTTCTCTGAGCATTGTTGCACAGGGACCTTGCTCCATTCTGACAATAGTTCTGGGAGGTGGGTTGGACAAGGATTGGAAGAGCTGAGGCATCTGTGAGAGTCCTTGGGCATGGGAAAGCACCACACAAATGTTCACTACGATCATGGCACTCACTGTGGGGCTCAGAGTGGTTAAGGCCTCACCTCAGGCCAAAGGCCAGCACAGAACCAGGAGATCTCAGAGGCCGTCCTGCCCGACCTCTGCCACATCCCTAATGACAGTGCTCTAGCTTCTGCATGCACATTTGCAATGACAGAGATCTCATTATTGCATGAGGCCAGCCCTTCCAGCATGGGCATCTCTGCTTGTTAAAGAATTCTTCACACTGACCCCAAAATTGCCTCTCAGTAATTTACTAGTTCCAGAGTTATGATTTTAAGTGGAGGAATAGGGACTAGACTCCAAGTTCACATGTTCTGAGTCCAGTGCTCCTTGCCCTACAGTGCTCAGACTCTCTGCAAAACACAAGCTTCCCTCTCCCAACCTCACTTGGCTTGAGTGTGTGGGGAGCCGTGGGGGGAGGGCAGATGCAGGCCTGTGCTCCCTGCTTTTCTGATCCCATTGATAGGGCTGGCAGGGCTGGCAGGGCTGGCAGGGCTGGCAGGGCTGGGCAGAGGGTCAGCTAGTCAACATTTGCTGGATAGAAAATATGCCGCAGGACTGTCTTGTGCCACATTCCCCCATGGCCAACCTCTCCAAGACTCAGTGAGGGCATCACCTCCCTCAGGAAGCCACCCTAAGCCCCTCTCCTGCCCTCTCCACAGCAGAGTTGGGCACACTTGTTCTGTGATTCTATAATGTCCTGTCTAGATGTGTTGCTGAATACACATCATGATGGCATAGTGATCTCTTTATAACAGTAATAGTAGTAATAATAATAACTAACATTTATTGAGTACTTACTATATGCCAGGCAGTGTTGAGTGCTTTATTTAATCCCATGACAATCCCACAGAGGTAGGTACCATTATAATTATTATAGATGGAAAAATAAAGGGCTGGAGCCATATTGAGTCATTTGCGCCAGATCCCACAGTTTTGAGAGGGTGAAGCCAGGATTCAACACTGCATGTAACAGGTGCTCAGTTAAGTTCGAAGAATAAAGGAAACAATGAGAAAGGCAATCCTTACCAACTGCCCTTAACCCAGCTCCGAAAAACTCATCCAAACCATATACCCATCCCTGGGAATTCAGTTTCTCTCCTCTCACCTCCAATCACCTTGCAACTGGCAGGGCTCAAGTTTGAGAACAAGGAAGCAGCCAGTGACAGCTGGAACCCAAATGCCTGTGAAGACATAGCACCAGTCATTCACATCCGATTGGGGGTCACTTTATCGAATTTGATCGCAGCCTCTGGGGCAGGCAGGGTGGGCAATGGGAAGTGTCCAGGACAGATGCTGGAAACAGGGTCACAAAGGGGGAGGGGCACAGAGCAGGGCCTGGCGTGGGCTCAAGGAGGCTCCTCATCCCCTCTCCCAGGACGGCTACATCGACTTCATGGAGTACGTGGCAGCGCTCAGCTTGGTCCTCAAGGGGAAGGTGGAACAGAAGTTGCGCTGGTACTTCAAGCTCTACGACGTTGACGGCAATGGATGCATTGACCGCGATGAGCTGCTCACGATTATCCGGGTAACTCCAAGTGCAGAGGGCTGGGCCTGGGGCAGGGACAGAGGCCCTGAGCTGAGAGCCTGGGGGTTGGGTCTTCAGTGGGCAGAACTGTGATCTCAGAAGGTGGTAGGATGGAATCGAGGGTCTCCGTGGCAGCTCTGGCCCTCACCAGCTGCGTGATCTCAGCCTCCCACCCCATTTCTTCTCTCTGGGCCTCAGTTCCCTCATCTGTACCAAGACACTGTGTAAGCTCTTAAGTCCCAGCTCTGCCTCTGCTGTCCACCCCACTGCTCCAGCACCTTGACCTCTACTTACCACTGCTGTTGGGAGCCAGAGGAGCTGTCACGGCCTCCACTCCCACCACTGTCCTATTCTAAAATGGGTCTTGTCACTTCTCCTCCTTCTCCCCTCCAGGCCATCCGAACCATTAACCCCTACAGTGACACCACCATGAGTGCAGAAGAGTTTACCGATACAGTGTTCTCCAAGATCGATGTCAATGGGGATGGTGAGGAGACTGGTGTGGAGGTCCCCAGGGGGGAGTCACTAGGCTGTAAGGCCCCAGCCACAGAGCTGAATTTTAGGGAGCCCTGGACCAAACTTTGGTCTCTGGCTCCTTTGCCTGTCCCACTCACAGCCGCTTCTCCCTGCATTGGCTCTGTCCTCCCTTGCAAGACTCCAGCTTTGGGCCCTGGTGTAATGATACCAAGTAGATGTGAAGACCCTCCTCCCCATGACTCCCCTTCTCTCTACCAGGAGAGCTTTCTTTGGAAGAGTTCATGGAGGGCGTCCAGAAGGACCAGATGCTCCTGGAGACACTGACACGAAGCCTGGACCTTACCAGCATTGTGCGCAGGCTCCAAAATGGGGAGCAAGACGAGGGGGCTGGCGGTGGGGCGGCTGAGGCAGCCGGCTGAGCCCGCTGACCCGATGCTTCTGTGTTGGGGAGTGGGTGTGTGGTGCTGCTGTTGTTACCATTGTTTTAATACTATAGAGTTTATTGAACTCAAAGTCTCAGCTCGCCTCCTTGGGGTGCACGGTGGCAGCAGAGGGGTAGGGGTTGGAGTCCAGAGCTGGGGATGGTGAGGAATGGTCTCTGAACCCTCTGCGTGACTCAGCTGATAGTGAGTGCTTCTAATCGGGGGCGCTCCTCAACACCCCTCTGCCTTTAGGCTCCTCCCTTACCCTTTCTGGCACCTCCCACCGCTTTTCCCAGCTTCCCCCAATGAGCTTCTCCAGTCCCACTCTCTTCTAGACATGGAAGCTCTGAGGCAGAGCTGGGATTTCCGAGGACTCTGATGGAATCCTACAGATCTTGTGGCAGCAGCCTCCATCCTGGTGTTGCAAGGACCCCCAGGACCGCCCGAGCCTACTCGTGTGGTTTGCATTGATTTTTTCCTCCCATTTGACAAGCATTTATTGAACACCTACTCTGTACTAGTGCTAGATGTTAGACATGCAAAGGAGATACTGTTCTCATCCTCAAGGAACTCACAGGCTAAGCATCATTTTATATATATTATATATTATATGTTATATGTTATATACTATATACTATATATTATATATTATTATATGTGTGTGTGTGTGTATGTGTGTGTGTATAAATTAGAGACACTGTGAATGGAGTCCTGTAGGAGCACAGGGAATTATAAGCAAATCTGACTCAGAGAGCGCCTCATAGAGGTGACCTTTGACTTTGAACATGAAAGAAGAGTCGAGGTTGCATATGGAGAAGAAGGTGTGTGGGAGGTGCATTCTGTGGGATGTATGTGTGTCACGTGGGGGCTGTGTAATGTGAGGAGGAGCTTTCTTAGGTGTAATTGGGAATATCTCTTAGAATTTACATTTTACCAAATTTGAAACAATAAGGAATCATCATATCCATTTTTAAGGAGCATCACCCAGGGCTCCAGTAATAGGAAAAAAAAGTAAACTCCTTCAAGAAGTTACAATGCTACCAAGGAGACAGGGATGGAATGTTTGGATGGCAGTAGAGATCTGAATCACGACTAAATGACCAGGCACAGTGTGTGCGCACATGTGCACACATTCAGACACTCTGGGAGGATCTGTTCTAGGTGGATATTGGCCAAAAAGTGAAAGAAGGTGGAGTGGTACTATAGAAAGTCATCATTTATCAAGAGGAAAACCATATTTATTTAGAAGTGACTGCACAACACCCTCATGCTTCACTTGTTGGCCCTTGGGAGGCATGTGGTGCTGCCCAATTCCCCACAGGTATGTGACTCATTACAAGTGACCCGACCATCCCTGGTCTCATCTAAATCCCTCTCGCTGCAGTGACACCTGACAGTTGGGAAATGGAGCAGTCTGTTACAGGTGGGCCTCATCCCCATTCTTTGCATGCCCCAGCTTTAGAAATACCTGCCCAAGAACCTGGGGAGAGACATAGGCTAGAGCAGTTGTGTGCATTTTTTCAAAGACACTATTTCTTCTGGGCTTTGAGTCTTCACTTCAGCTGGGTGTGGAGGAGTGCGGGGAGTAAATAATAATCCAGGGTGGGAGGGAGAAAAACGGGGAAAGGGGAATGAAGCCCCAGGTTGCAGAGGGCTCCTGCCCAGGTGTATGTGTGTGGGGTGGGGGGTGCGGGGATGAGAGAATGTGTTTTGCTCACATCCGTCCTGTCCATCACTTGGACCACCTCAGACTGGGAAGCCAGCCAGGGCCTGAGCACAGACATGGAGGGACAGTGGAGGTCAATGCCAGAGGCAGCCTGGAAAAACAAGGAATTGACATTTCTGTTGCTTCTCTTGGTGCCTGCCTCTTGGGAAATCCTGAAGGTCAGAGTTGGGAGCGTATCTGGGTAGAATAAGGACATTTTCCCAACCTCATTCACAGACCACCTTTATGATTTGGGGCATATCTGTGTCCCTCCTGGATTATTGCTTTTTTAATCAACTGTTTTTTACCTAAAATTTATTTCTAAAGGAATCTTTATATGAATATCATACCGATGAAATCATAGGTTCAACAGGTTAATTTTATTTTTTATACATCAACATAGAAGCATATTCATTCAAGGTAAAGCAAGTGTTTTTCCAGGTCCCACTTTAAATGGTCTCACAGGGGTAAAACTGGTCCAGGGCCCTGGTTTTTAATTTGTGTTTTCAGAGGAGCCTCTGGCTCCAGGGATGGGAGGGGTCTGAGTTGCTCAGCTCCCCTTCAACTAGAGTGGCTCCCTTTTAATAAAGTTTCTATTTTGGGATTACACACAAGAGTTTGTATAACAAAAATAATTCTACATCTAAAAAAACAATAATCCGAAAATTGCTAGTGTAGTCCAGCCTGCTCACCGTGCAGGTGAGATAACCAAGGTCAGAGCAGAGAAGTGGCCATTTGGGTCACATAGCAGTTGGAGGCAGAGCCTGACCTAGAACTCAGGTTGTCAAGCTTCCAATTATCCCTGGAGACAGAGGGAAGGCTTCTCAATCCGATCCATTAGAGATGCATTTTGGCTATGGCTGGAAAGTGTGGAAGGTCCCTGCTGGGGAGAGGGTTGGAGAGGTGGGTGTGGGGGGTGAGGGGTAGGGAGGGGAAGAAGAGGGTTGGGGTGGCAGCAGGGGCTGGGGGAACAGCACCAGGGTAGAGCTGAAACAGCCCCTTAAGCATGGCTGACCCCTCCAAGGGCAGGAGACCATGGCCTGACTTGCTGCAGGTTTCCCTTGCTGATGTACCTGGTGCAGCCAACTTGGAGAGGAGGAGGCAAGCATCCTCTCATGAACACCCCTCAGGATGCTGGGGATGTAATTATTTTTCACCCCGCACCCAACTCCTACTTTTTCTTCAGACTCACCGCCTTCCAGCCCCTGCCTTCTACCAGTCTGCTTCATACAATGTGAGCATTCTCATTGCTAACTTGGTATATAGGACCCCACCTCTCAGTTTGCCCTTTCTTCCAGCTAAGAACCATGTAAGAATTTGTGGGACCCCAACAACCATCTAACCAAGGCATAGTTTGCCCAGGAGCCGCTGGAGGGTGTGAGCAAGCCATTCCCTTCACCACCCAGTAAACCCTCCCAGTAGGCAGCTTCAGACCAACAGCCCCTCCCCCTTCCCGTGCAGCCCCATCGCCTTCACAGGGCTGCCAGGATAAGAGTGGGCATAAGCAGGCTGAGCCAGGAGCCCTCCCACTGCTCCAGAAACCTGGTAAGCCTGGAGTCTTGGTGGGGGCCTGTGGACTCTGGCAGGGCTCCCAGGGCCCCAGACCCCTCTAGAACATGGCACTTTTCCGCCTCTGCTGAGAGATCCAGCCACCGGGATTCACATCCATCTGCAGCATCTTCATCACCCACTTATCACGACGGGCACCTTCAATGAACTCATTCAAAGACAGCTGGCCTGAGCAAGGGGCAGGAGAGAGTCATTCAGGAGAATGGAAGAAATGGAGTCGGGGGCAAGAGTTGACAGGAGAGGCCATCTCTTCTTGGGTGCGCTTATAGCTTTTATACGAACAAGCCTGCAGTTTCAGTCTTGGGGCCTAAGCTTGGGGCCTGTCAATTCTCTGATCCTCCACGAATCTCCTTGAACCTTCGAGGGTTTCTTTGAGGGACTTTCTTTGCAAATGAATTGGAGTTTTGCTTGTGACCACAGTACTCTCGAAATGTTCTGAGGACTCTTCTGGGTGTGTTGGGGCTGCGAGGGTGGAGAGCCCCAGTAGCCTCAATGGGCCTCCCCTATGCCTGGCTCTTAAATATGTTACCCCATTCCTCTCAGAGGTATTATCCCCACTTTCCAGATGAGGAAACGGAGACCAGGCTGAGAGGTTTAAATGTCTGCCTGACTCCAAAGCTCCTTTTCTTTCTCTCTGCTTACCTGGCTTCCATCAGCAACTCCAGTAGGAATTTTAATCACTCTTAAAATGTCATGTGCTAGTGACACCCTTTGTGATTTCATGTAGTCCTTTACACACCCAGCTCATAGATGAGGACACTAGTTGTTAGGAGGTAGAAGGCTTTGCCCAAGGTCACATGGCCAGGAAGTGGGGGTGCTATGGAGTGGGCCACCGTCTCTGCCCCAGTTACCATCTCCGTTCTCATCCACCAGAAGGAAGATCCTGTCCACGACCTCCTCGGGAGTGAGCGGCTGGCCTTGCTGCTCATCCTCCATCTCCACCCTGCAGGCTTTCTTCAGCTTGTAAATTGCCTGTCAGAGAAAACACAGAGGCATTGATGGGACCCTGCAAACTCCACCCCTCCCCCAAGACCGAGGTCCCTCAGCACCGTGTCCCCAGCGCTGTCCCCCAGGCTGTGCATCTGAGGACCAAAGGACCCAGATCCAAATAAAAACTGACCTGTCCTCAGGCTGTTCTCTCAGGGTCCCATTGGCCTAGTTCCAAATGAGGAGTACCTGGCCTCACACGTCACCCCATTGGCGTTTTCACTATGTGCACCAAAGCCAAAAACCAAAACCTCTAGGGAGGGATGTGTATGGCACTGTGATGGTCTAAAGAGCACTTTACAGAGGAAAATAGAGATTCAGAGAGGAAAAGAGAATTTAGTATATTTATGGATGTGTGCATCTATGTGTGTGAAACAGGATGATAAGAGATACGAGTGTTTGGACTGGAGGGGAAAGAAGAGGTTTCTCCTTTGCCCTGTTTCCTCTTCCAGTGAGGCAACATTCGTGAAGTGAAATGGAGAAGAGACAGACAAACATGAGGATTATCCTTAGTTCCTAGACTGGGTGCTTTCTGAGGGCAGAGGCATAGCTGGCCGATCCCCAAGGCCTCACTGCCCAGCCCTACACCTGGCACAGAGCAGGCCCTCACCGACTGTGTCAGAGAGCCTCAGGTTACAGCCAGCTACACACCTTCTGGTGAATGAGCTTGGGCAAACACAGAACCTCCACGAGGTGATTTCCTTATCTATAAAATGGGCTAAGAACTCCCACCCCGT